CCCATTTGAACCCGTATAAACGGGTTCAGGGCTGGTTTAACCTCCCCAAAGGAGACTCCGCCCTTCGGCGTAGCCTCCTTCGGGTTCCTCCCGCCCGTAGGAAGAGAGTTTAACCGAACAGTCGGTTCAGAGGCGAACGACTGACTGACTGACTCCTTGCCTACTCCTGAGGCGCAGTATTAAGTATGAAATAGTCCATTATTATTATTATGGGTAAGATCCCATAACACATAGCTATTCATAATTGAGAAGAATTAGCTTGAACAAAAGAAATCAACACCCTGTACCAAGTGTTCCGAGAAATAAGACTCAAGATAAATACTTGCAAAACAAAAGCTCTGAATGAGAGTATTAATGGCATATACTCTGAATCCTTAAAAAAAATTCAGTAGATGGAACTGATAAATGCTAGACACTTCAAATACCTACATGTATGGATCATTTATAACGCATTTTCTATAGGAGATAAGGAAATTGATCGTAGAATAGCTTACGATAGAGTTAGTTTTGTCAACGCCACAAGTTGCTATAAAACCAAAAAAATAACCCAAGAAATTTCAGATTCTTAAATCGGCTTGTCAGATCAAAACTTTCAGATGGACAAACTCATGACGACAAACCCATTCTGAAATATTTATACTGTCAGCTTTTGTTATAACCGCTTTCACAGATCAATAAATAAAAATGGCTTAGAAATTACTCCAAAAAAAGAGATTAAGACGAAAGCCCTCATTAATAATGGAGAAAGTAATAAGAGAAGACTTCAGAATACTATTTTCCTGAAAGATTATTTTAATATAAAATCTCAAACACCAGTAGCACTGGCTGCTCGGTCGATAAATGCCGAATGTTTCCTTATAATAAAACGGCTATTATTGTTGCTAATACCATCTTAATTAAAGAATACAAAGCATGTACATACTGACACTTCCCAGCAGATTAAATGAGAAAATATGAGTGCCATTCTTACTGTAGCAACAAGTCATTTATTACTATTATTATTACTAGTAGTAGTAGTAGTGGTGGTACAAAATTGGTTTTTATATCAGTAGTGAATAGTTGTTTTAAATCGATATCTCTGTGGAATAAAAAAAAATCAATGAAGAAAATTTTACAAAATTTAACACCTTAGAGCAGTGGTTCCCAAACATTTTTTCTCTGGATCCCATTTTCGGAAGGAAATTTGCTCGTATCTCATCCAATTTTATCTAATAAAAAAAAAAAGAAAAAAGAAAGAAAGAGAGAGAGAGAAAGACAGAGACAGAGAGAAGATTAAAGGGAGATAACCACCGATTCTAAGTCGGAAAAATGATCATTAATAACCCTCTTCTTCAATTTGCGGGGCCTTAGTTACCATATTCTTAATACTTGATATAATGCAAAATATAGCAATGATAAAATCGGTCAACAATTATTTATAACTATTTATAATGAGACCCATGCATGCAATTACAAGTAATCCAAAATGATATTTTAAATTTAATGTAATCACATTTGTTTTTGGCATATGAATATTTTAAAACTGTTTCTAAATCATTGATTGTCTTTCAAACATTCCGCCATCACCAGCTATCCTCTTCCGCACACGTATAAGGCGCACCTCGTCGTTTTGGAACTACTCCCTTAGAGAACCTATTTCTAGACTCTTTGTTAATAAGGGAATGAAAAAAATGCGAAAACAAACTCTTCCATGTCGAAACCTGTGTTTAACCTACTTTGCAGTTTACGCAATACAACAGGGAAAAGATAATTGCCACCAATGGGGGAAACCATGAAAAATCAATAAAAGCCAGAAACGAAAGTGGCAAGAAAACCAACTCCATTGAGAATGTAAGCGACAAATCGAAGAAATTGCGATAGGAAAGTCCTGATCATCGTTACGTAGATGGCATCCAATACTGGAGGCAGAATCGTTGATTACAGTAACCCAAATGCATTAAAACCAATTACCTTAAAGCGACAACGAACATAAAAAATACAAATATCGTCCGTCCAGAAAGAGAGAGAAAAAAAAAGAAAATAGCCAACAGAATGCGGCAAGCTAGCCCAAAAAGAATTTTAAAACGGGTGAGATAATTTAGGAGGAAGGATTAGCTGGAAATTATTTGCGTTAGCGCAGGATAACAAGTTTTATTTACACAAACGTTCAGTTTTCATCGAAAGTCAAAGACGAAAATAACTTGAAAATTTGTGATAAGAACAGAAGAGTCAGCGAAGTTGTTATGAAAACGATACTCTTAACTTGCAGACGTGACCATGCAAACAAAATGAAATAAAGGAACCCAAGTAGTTACCGAGAATGCAGTCTGCTTACATTCTTTTTCTGTTTTGCGGTCAGAGATAAATTTCGTCTTTCACGTAAAGCTGGAGTGTTCGATTCATATCAGTCAATTATGTGCCATGCGTGATACATGACCGACGAGTCTGTCCTGCTATTTACCCATACCTGTTGTGGGGGAGAAGAAGAGGATTCATACCTTTCACAAGGGTATTAACACGTAAGTGAATATAATGGATTTGACTGGAATTCGAACTCGGCTCTCCGATTCCTCAATCCGGGCCGCTATCCATTACTCCACCGTGCCTCCTTCGATTCATATATAGACGGCTTTTGGGCACTTCGACGCGATCCTCACTGTGAGTCCCATAATTTGGGCCTTGTGCCACATCTAAACCATGCTTAGAAAATCGCCATGTATAAACAGTTTCTCTATTGCATGCACCCGTTATAAAAAAAAGAAAGGAAATTCAGCTCAATGAGAGTAACTCACTGCCCTTTCTCGGAAATTAAGTAGAAAAATTATATTGAATTAATTGCTAGGCCTTCTGCTAAGATGGCTCACTCAGTCGTGCTAGACAATATTTATCTCCAGAAACTATCTTGCACATTTATAAGTCTACCATTCCTCCACCTATTGAATATTACCGTCACATCCGGTCTGCTGTTTCCGCTATGTATTTAGAGACTCTTGATAAAATGCAAGGAAGAATCTTCAATATTATTGGTCTTAAGCTGACATCACATTTTTAGTCACTTTCTACCGCCGTAATGCACTTTTACTCTGCATTTTCCTATAAATATTTCCATGCTAATTGTTCTAACGAGTTTTCTTCTATAGTGCCTAGCTTTTTATGAATTTAAGCGTAGATTGGCGACAAGGTTTCATCATTTTACAGTTGACATGGCTAGATGTAACCGTAAGTTCTATGCTAACAGCTTCTTCTCTTGCACTTCTCACTTATGGGAACTCTCTTCCAGCTTCTTGCTTTCCTGATAACATTGGTGTTCAAAAATAGAAATGCTATGGCAATCGCTATTAATTCTTAATTCTTTTAATTAATTCTTAATCCCTGTTCTTTTATTGCTCTGTCTCATTAATAGTGTTTTTTCTCATATTTCCTCACACTCAGTAACACTATTGCGTCTTAGTGGTAGTATTGCCTTGCTGGGGTAGGGGGGTAAATGATTAAAAAACAGAGTGATACGAAAAAGTTGTTTAGTCTGGAAAAAAGACTAAATAGACAATAGAAATGATATTTGGATTATTCTTTGCGTGCCTTCAAAAAGGAGACACTTACCCCAAGAACACCAACCCTGGTGATATAGTACCCAGCGCAAATTTTCCAATTTTTAATTACAGTTTTCAGTACCTGATTTTCTTACCTAGATAATTTGTTTTTCAGTCCCTATTAATGTTAACTCAAAGTACAAAGTTTGAAGTGCTTGCATGTAAAATATTTCAAATAAAGATTTATATTTAATTTTTTTTTTTTTTTTTTGATATTTTCGAAATTGGGTGTGATGTACCCATGGTTAGTAGTGGTTTAACTTTAATTGATATTTAGTGTTCTAGGGTTAAAAATTGAAATTCTGCCTACCTTATGGGAATAGACAAAAGGCTGGTTGCAAAATAAAACTTCGTATCGTATAATTTCGCTAACAGTGAAGGTGAACTGAATTCAAGACTACATTTCTCGGAGGATCAAACGAAAACAGGAAAAAAAGAATGAAAACGTTCAAATAGATATTTGAATATTAGTCAGATAAAAAGAAGAACGATCAGAGAAATAACCAAGCAATTACCTGTATGTAAATAACAATTCATTCAAGTTTCAAGCTCTGATATTAATTCCTTTCTGTTAAATATTTCGGTAAGGAATTTCCACTAGGGCAGCTCCCTCCTACGGACAGTTTTTTTTTTTTTTTTTTTTTTTGTGGAACCGATTCCCAAGACTCTTTCCTTACCACTACAATGTTGGTCTCTTCAAATTTAAAGTAAACTGTTTTCTTTTCCACATTTCCTCATAGACTACACTTCTTGATTCTTTTACCACTTATCAAAAACCTTCTTTAGTAATCCTTGAATGGCTCTTGGGCTTCTACGAGTTCCCGGAGCCACTCAAGGTAAAAAAGAAAACTAAAAAAACATCTGAAACATCTTAAATACTGGAAAAAAAACATGTTAGTAAAAATATAAAATAATATTAATTAAAAAAAGAAAACAAAAACATATCTGAAATATCGATTTTTGATTGTGTTGTGTTTTACGGTTTAGCACCCTTTTTCTGGTTATTTAAAATCAGAAAAAAATTGTTTGGTTTGTAAGAATTTGTTGAAGATAATGATTTACTGATATAACTCCTACTAATTAACCTGTATCTGGTGGGGGAGAATATGTGAATTAATGCCCTCCTCAATGTCATTTGTCTCTATTTCTGAGATGAGGTATTATGTACACTATTTACATTATTCGGACTATTGTCCTCATCTTTGTCGCCATATTTATTACAACGTTTTGGTCGGCTGAAGAAGGCTGGAGCGTACAACGGCCGAAACATTATAATAAATATGGCGACAAAGATAAGGACAATAGTCCGAATAATGTAAATAGTGTCAATTACATTTGTAAGTGAATATAAGAAACCCCACTCGAATTGGAACTCGTGTCTATGATTTCCAATTCTTAGCCTTTATCCATTACATCACCCGCGTATCCCAGCTTACAGCACCTGATATTCCCAGACGGTCACCCACCTAGGTACTGATCAAGCTCCACGTTTCTTAACTTCGGTGATCGTTAGGGAACCGGTGTTTAATCGTGATATGGCCGTAATATATGCCCTGAAATATTGATCAGTTCACCTGAATTTTCTTCATAAATATAAACATTATAGTGATTTTCCAAGCGTAGTTTAGATGTGGCACAAGGCCGAAATTAAGGGGCACCCAGTGAGGATCGAACTCACTACTCAGTCGTAATTGTTCTAGCGAGCCAAGCTTGCTAACCATTACACCGCCTCGGGGTGTCCCGTAGTGATTTTCCAAGCGTAGCTTAGATGTGGCACAAGGCCGAAAGTATGGGGCACCTAGTGAGGATCGAACAGTTGTAATTGTTCAAGCAAGACAAGCTTGCCAACCATTACACCGCCTCGAGGAGCCCTAAATATAAACATTATAAACCGGCTTGTACTGCCCCCTGAAAGCACCCGACTCATTCTGTCATATTTGATCTTTGCAAGAGTCAGATTAGACCAAAAATGTAGTATTATTGACATAACTCAACTGGAGCTGCACAGTCCTTATTTTCTCGTCTTGACAGAATTCAAAATCGTTTAAGCGGTCTTGTAAGAGATATTTATTTCCATTTTAAAGCTTCTTTCACATAAACCCAACGTCACAAACCTATCCCTACATTATGCATATTTCCATAGCAAAAGTTCAGAGGAGTTCCAATCTTTAGTTCTACCAGTTCAGATCTTAAAATCTCGAAATCGCCATGCTATATCCACGGTGTCAAATCACCCATATTTCCCCCGTATTCCATTTGTACAGAGTTCCACTTGTTCTTGAGAATTGCCTCTCTGCACAAGCATCCATGTGGGTGCTACCCTGAACGCTATAATCTTAACCCCTTCATATTAATCTGCCCTCATACTCTTCGCTTCCTTTTACCTTCTCTAACATTCATATCTCAGATCTCATTCAGTATTCCTTTTCAATGTGTGGCTCTTGAGCCTAGTACTGGGTGAACTTTGATATAGTTTTCTTCTTTTAGTAGCAAATATTCTATTATTTATTACGCGTCTTTCGTTTAAGGTTGTAGAGTGATTTAACAATGTATTTACGAAGAGACAATGCATTAATTAGACCTTTAGCAAAAGTTCTGACGTTTTTGTGTCGCCGACTAAAAATAAAGTCAATAACTGAAGCATACAGGATTACATTTAACTATACATAAAGCATATCTATTCTGCTAGTAATGCATGCATTATTTCCTGGCAACTGACATTAGATTTTTCCAGATTTTAAAAACATGCAGACGAGAAAAATTATCAAAAACTTTTTTTATACCGAAAGTTACTAAAAAACTGTTATATCAAAATTCAGTCGTCCACCTTTATTTTTTGCATCAGAAAAATTTACTTGAACAGTACAAGATATTTCCATAATTAATCGTAGATATAGTAACATCTGAAATCAGTAAAGGCGAACCGCTGCCAAACTGCAGGATGTACTGTATCAGAAAATAAATGACCGTTAGATTCGGCGCTAATTTTGATTGATGTAATTTTAAACGAGTAATAGCGCAAATCTACTCCACTTTTCAACCCGAGAACTGCTAATGACCACTAGATAGCGGTGCCAAAGCGGCATTTTGGAAAAAATGCAAAAAACACATTCATATTTTTCTATTTTTACCATATGACCTCTTAGACATAAGACGTGTCTTTTTTTTCCCCTTCTGTGAGACCTATTGTTCTCTGTTGAACTTCATTTTGGCCTGAAAAAAATAGAGAAAAAAATGTAGTATACAATACCTTAAGCTTACTTGAGTACACACAGACATAACTAATAAGCCTTCCAAACAAACAGGTAAAGAATTTAGTCGGACTATTGTCCTCATCTTTGTCGCCATATTTGTCACAACGTTTCGGCCGTTGTACGCTCCGGCCTTCTTCCGGCCGAAACGTTGTGACAAATATGGCGACAAAGATGAGGACAATAGTCCGACTAATGTAAATACTGTACATAATACCTCATCTCAAAAATATAGACAAACTCAGGTAAAGAATTCTTCTTAAATGTAAGATTCCCACATTAATTGTTAAGGAAAGTTACGATAAAAACATCTGTAGATTCACCTCATTTTCTAACGCGACAAGCTTGCTTAACCATTACACCACGTCGAGATGCCATTCGCATATATATATATATATATATATATATATATATAAAAGTTATAGTAATAATGATAATACTTATTTATATACGTAAAATTATATAATTTAACCCAGGACGTGGATGTAGTTTATCGTCTTACCCAGGACGAAATTGCTGTTATCAAAAATATAAAAACTATCATTCTGAACTTTTTATAATTTTGAGAGATCCAAATGCCAGATTTAGGGTTAAGAATAATCTCTGTTCTGTAGATTTTATAGGTCAAATATTGACACACTCTTTTGTACAAAATATAAGTGCAGTCTGGAATACTCATGCCGCTAAAAAAAATTTAAACTTATAAAAATAAGGTGGGGATTTTCTATTCCTAGGACGAAATACTAGTATCGTAGAGAAAAATATTTTTAAAATGGTAAGCTTGCTGTAACCCAGCTATGGATTAAATAGCAGGTACATAGCTCTCTAGAATTGACTTTAAAAAATTCTAAGAGAAAAAAAACTTAATTCTAAACCGAAAAGGCAACTGGAAACTATTTCAGTATCTTTTCCTGTGGCAATTCACAGATAATAAAAAGGAACCTTCGAAGCGTCGTGTTTGCCTTCCTACTGAATGGATATGACATTGTTAATTTGAGAGTTCCATAACAAATAAGCACTGTGATGGGGGGGTAATTTCGATATTTTCTCGTTAGTTTTGTTGTTTTTTCCACTTCTTATTTTTAAGTGCCATGTCCCTTCAGGGGGTTGATCATTGTGGCTTTTCAGTTTCCTGTCCTTTTAAGCTGTTAGAAAATTTTATTTTTTCGCTGTCTCTTCTAAACACTATTCTGACAGGGCTTTTCATATACACGTTAGGTCGATAATGCACTCCTTTCCACTCTAATTCCTGTCTTTAATGTCTTCTCAGCATCAAATTTCCCTAAGACTTCTTTCCTCATTATGTGCCCTAGAAATTTCAACTGTCTCTTTCTGTTGTTAATTATAAGTATCCTTTTTGTTTCTATTTTCTCTCACGTCGTTACTCACATGTTCAGTCCATCAAAGCGTTCGGTCAACTGAACACTAAAAGTCTGTTGCTTCAAGTCTCTTTTTCATCTGTGAGGAGAGTCTTTATCTTTCACTGCCATAGAGGAGGACTGATATTACATAACTGTTTAGTACTATTTACTTTGTTTCTAATGAAATTAGCATATTTCTTAATACTTTGTTTAGCTTTTTTGTTAATTTAAGTTTCTCAAATAAGCCGCTAGCATTTTAGCTCTTCGAAGTGAGTATTGTTTATTTTATTTCAATGTTGTTTTGTTTTATTTCAATTCATCAGTGTTTATTTTATTTCAATATTGTTTTATTTTATTTCAGTTCAATAGTGTTTATTTTATTTCAATTCAGTAGTGTTTATTTTATTTCAATGTTGTTTTATTTTATTTCAATTCAGTAGTGTTTATTTTATTTCAATGTTGTTTTATTTTATTTCAATTCAGTGGTGTTTATTTTATTTCAATGTTGTTTTATTTTATTTCAATTCAGTGGTGTTTATTTTATTTCAATGTTGTTTTATTTATTTTTCAATTCAGTAGTGTTTATTTTATTTCAATGTTGTTTTATTTTATTTCAGTTCAGTACTCTTTTCTTTGTTTCTAATGACATTTTCTGTTTCTTAATACATTGCTTAGATTTTTAAGAACATGAAGTCAAACATCTTACATAATGTTGGTAGATTTCAGTTTAGCCTTTACAGATTAGTTTCGTCTTAAATTAAACGAGCCTTTTCACTTTAAAATAGCAAATGGTCCTTTTGATTTCGACGCAAACTTGATTTATAAAGCTATACTGCGTGACATGTATTTATTTTAGGCTCTATTTTCTTACCGAGTGATTTTAAGCTTCCGTAGGACGAATGCGAAATCCATTAAGAAGTCTTTAGCTAAATTTTTTTGACATTTTCTTTGTTGAAGTTGCAACGAAATTCTTAGCAGTGATTTTAACACGACTTGATTTTCCCAGTGATATTTCTGATCTTTCGACATATCACAGATTCCAAGGTTGCAGATTGATGACGTAAAGGCACAATTTGTTAATGGACGCATGCGCATGGATTCAGGAAAAATCAGTCATATTAAAAAAAATATATAATGATAATTTTTTTCAGAATGTTAGATTTAATAATTGCCGCGTGGAAAAGGCCAGTGGTGTAGTTAAGAATTAAACGAAATGAAAAATATCTGTGCATTGGATTATCTACCATCCGCAAGTGTTCTGTCACCAGAATCCTAAATAAAAGCAGAAAGTTGCGTAATTTATTGCATACATACTTGCAAGCTCGGATAGAGAATACACACACATAAATAAAAAAAGTGCCTTCTCAAATACAACTATCCACTAAAATAGCATATAAGTTGATAAAAATCCGTCAGATGAATAAAAAAAGAATCCATTCTAAAATTCTCCTTTTTTACTTTTGAATACAAAACTGTGAAGTTATGAAAAACTTCGTGAGAACTATGACAGAAGAAAATTCGCTGGAAAGCACGAAATTTGGCCTCGCCTGACAGAGTGTTCTTCGTGGCTAAATATTTAAGGCGTTCCCGGCTAAGTGGTGGCTCCCTCTGCCCCGAGGGATGCAGGTTCGTTTTTTGCAAAATTTTCTTTAATAAGATTTCTTTCAGTCCGGCAGACGAAAATAGATAAATATACTGTTTAATAAATAAACTCAAAATGAGTATCCACACACACACATATATATATATATATATATATATATATATATATATATATATATATATATATATATATATATATATATATGTGTGTGTGTGTGTGTGTTTATTAAGGATCTCATTTATTCCTTGGTTTTAGCTTCAGAAACGCAGAGTCGGATCATACTCAAGAAATATATATATATACCGTATTTTCTTGAGTATAATACGATA